TCTTCTTCTTCTCTCTCTCTTCTTCTCCTTCTCTTCTCCTTCTCTTTCTCCTCCTCCTCCTCCTCCTCCTCCTCCTCCTCCTCCTCCTCCTCCTTGTTTCTGCTCAGTGCAGGAATCCAGATTCAGGCATCGGAGCCAGATGGCTGCCTAGGGGAGATCACGCCTCCCGAGGGAGCTGGCCCAACTGTCAAGCCATTCTCAGTGTTAGCAAAACATGTGTTCCTTTCTTCGCTTGAAAAGTGCTTGGATTGCCACCCTTCAGCTTAAACAAAAGTCTCCCCAGGTGGCTTATGGTAAAACTATAAAAATGCAAAATGCCAGAGAAATAAAACAGCAACTAAGCAGAAGACTCTGTCTCTGGGGAGAGAGAGATGCTTCTGGGTCGCCCTGCAATCAGGGCTGATGCTCAGCAGCTCTTCCTGCACTTTCCGGGTCGCAATCAGATATGCCGGGCTATGGCGGAGACCCTCCGAGGGCGAGAGGCTGAGGGGGCCGGACGCTTATCTCGAACGCCTTGCTCCTTTGCGCTGCAGGTGGCCCAGGGCGTGCAGAGACTGCCAGGTCCGGGCTCTGCTGCACTCCTGGAGGAGCCTGTTCTTCCTGCACGCTGAATCCTTGGCTGCAGGCCAGCGGGCCAGCCCCTCCCGCCAGGTCTCCCAGTCCATGCTGTTGTTACAGGGCAAGGCTTTTTGCCAAGTGGGGGGGGGTTCTTGGCCTCAGAGAGGCATCAGGGAGCTGCCAGCCCTTGCTGGCCACGTGCCAGGTGGGGTGGGCCAAGCAGCTTGGAGAGGCTGGGGCAGTGCCGGATTGCTTGGGCTGGGCCTGCTGGGCTGGAGAGGCGGAGACAGGAGCCATGGCAGAGGGCAGCCAGATGTTCTTGGAACGTAGAGGGAGAATTGGGGCACATTTGGGGGTGCATGGGGCAGGGCTGGGCAAGTCTATGGTGGGGTGCAGGAAGGAAAGGCAGCATTCATTCCTGGAAGGGTGGAATTGCTCTGATCCAGGGATGTGCAGCCTCAGTCCGGATCTGTCTCAGGAGAAACACGGGGCAGGCCTGTTGCAGAGCAGCATTTTGTCTGGAGTGGTGCCCGCCTGCCCAGAGGATGAGCTGGGATGAAAGGCAGCCCCTGCCCAGCAGGGAAGGAGAGGTGGTGGGGAGCAACCTCACCCATTCGCCTTCTCTTAGGGACCATTACCCAGGTATTTCTTTTGCGGAGAAATGTGCCCTCCCCACCGGAGCCATTTTGTAGGAGCACCCATAGCAGGCATCAAACCACCCAGTCAGAAAAATCGGGCATCCTGAAGACTTTTAGATCCCAAAGTGGTTTCTGCCTCCCTCCCTCCCTCCCTCCCTCCGTTGACTGGCAAAGGGTGAAGATCTTCTGGATGGAGATGTTATCTGAGCTTCCCAAGCGCTTAAGTGCATCTTCTCTCTCCTTTTTAATTTTGCAGGGAGGGCCCACGCCTCCCCTTGAACCGAGCATTTTAACGGTGAGCTTCAGTGCTGCAAGCCTTTTATGTCCAGCAATTCATTGTGAGACTTCAGCCGTCCATCAGGAACGAGACTCGGCTCTATTCTCCCGCAGCCATTGTTTAAATGGCTGAGTGCATTTGCACACCCTTAAATCAGTGGATGCAGGCCAGCGGCAGCCATGTCGGTCCCCATGGGAGGGGGCCTCCTAGCAAGGGAGACCACCCTAATAACCCATGGGGTGCCTTCCTCAGGCACACAAATGCATGACCTCAGGCGCCATGTCTGCTGAGACCTCCCTGGCAGCACTTTGCCCTGACCCACCTTGGCAAAGGCCCTGGGCATATTAAGAGTTCATAAGCTCCTGTGGGGCAGAAGCAGAGGAGGCCTTTTCCTCACCCGCCTGGCTGGCTGCATCTCAGGCCAGCCGTTGGAAGAGAAGAGGATGCTCTGCAGGGTCCTGAGGGGACGGGGGGGGGGGGGCAGAAATGCTCCGGCCGACTGGGTGGGCCCTCCGGGCAGAGCCAGTTTTCTGTGGCTGTGCCACAGTGGGAGGTGAGCTTCAGAAGAGTGGCCGATCTGCATCTTGCACCCCAAAGGTCCCCGGACAGTTGCTCGTATGGGCCCGATCGTACGGAGGCTTAGGGCAGAAATAACCCCTGCCCTGGAACCACCTTGGCATTTTGCATCCTGTAAAGGTGGCAAATGTCAGAACAGCGTGGGCTTTAAAAGAGCTCTTTTCTGCTTTTTATCCTATGCTCCGACACTATCCGCACATGAAACGCTCAAAGATGCTGCACCTAAGAGTGTTGGGAACGGGAGCATCGCTTCCTTTGTATCTCCTCATTTGCCCATTTCCTCCGCATTAATACGACACTCATTCAATAACTTCTTGCCGGCTATGACTCACAGAGACCTTCAAGCCCTTTGTGATTTAAGGGTTATTTGCTAGAGGCTGAGTGCGAGCATTAATTCCACCCAATTCCTGTCCAGCTCACAAGCACAATCCAATTAAAGAAGAAGCACCGTGCGGATGACATGAATAGATCTCAGGAATCTCATCTGGCGACTGTAGAAGGCTCTCTGGACCTTGAAGGAGCACTTCGGGCAGGGCTGGAATGGCACAAGCCCTCCGGAGCCGCCCCCGCCCCGTGCAGGAAGCCGGGTGCCTCGCCCCAAGATGGCTGCTCCAGCTCCCTCTTGGATGTTCCCACGAACCCCGTGGATGGCACGGAAGGGAAAAGGGAGGCCTGATGACCCGAGAGAGGACACTGGGGAGGGTTCACAGGCTGCAGACAATGTCAACACACACACACGGAGAGGAGCCCCGAGCACAGCAGAGCCAAACCCAGGCATCCTGCAGTCGGGGACCCCCAGCCCCACCAGGGCCTCGGAATCTGGGAAATGGAGGGCCGGGGATGGGGAACCTTGGTCCACTCTCGAGGAGCACCAGTACCTGCAGAGATGGTCAGCCCAATGGCGGTCAGCCCAGGATGTGCGACCAGGAGAAACGCCTGGTCCAGAGGAGATGGGTTCATGTTCCCATGAGCCCGTCCCCTCCCTAGGGAAGAAGGCCTGCTCTCACACTGCTTTTACCTTTAGGAAGTACTTTCCGACCTTCAGATGGAATCTGCCATCCCTTAGCTGAAGGCCAGTGTTCTGGAACAATACTAAACAAACCTTGAATTTGCCCCAGGGGCCACCCTTTCAGGATATTTGAAGGTGCTCCTTTGAACTCCCTTTATGCGGTACCCAAGATTGCTCCAGAAAGCTAGACGGCTTGTCCTTTCCAATTCTACTAGCCTGCAAGTTACCAACAGGCTTATACACAAACTCAGCTGGAATGTAAGAAAGCAACCAGGAAGAGCTGCGCTGCAGTTCCCTTTTAGCCCAAGCAGAGACTCCCTGGAAAATCATCCTCTGGCTTTAGGAATCAGTCTTTGAAAGAAGTCATAGAAGGATGAATCCGAAAATGTCC